TACCTGACCTGCTCGTAGATGGGGCAGCTCGTCATCTGAGGTTCCACTGTACTGCCTGTGTCTTTCAGTCGGAACGCGTGCCTTCCGTGGGTCAATATATCCCCCCGCCCAGCCGTTTTGGTTTTACGCTACAGCCTACTGGGTGGGCGAGTTTTCCCACCAAATCTGAGTTTCGTGAAGACGATTTCCTCAACCCTGCCTTTCCTGTTGTTCTCCCTGCGGCTCTTCCAGCTGGACTGTCTGTGGGCTTGGTGACTAGTTCGCTTCCCACACTCAATTCGTTCAATGCGGAAAGCAAATATCCATGGTACCTCCCCAAAAACTGCGCAGTTCTTCAAGGGTCAATCTTAGCCCTACACCTATTATCCTTCCGCAATGACGACCTACGATCGTCACATGAATGCTTATATGTTAAATATGCTGATACTATGGTTCATGGTCATTTTCTCAAATATCAAATAAATCTCCAGGTATAGAAGGATGGCCTAGACCACGTTTCCGCATAGTCGTTAGCCAATGGTCTTCTACTAAATAACTAGCAGTCAGTCCAGTGCGTTTTCCAATTGCGACCCTCTTCCAGTCCTAAATCCTTAGACATCCTGTCCAATGAAGTATCCTCTTTCCGGTACCTTGGTGTTACTCTGGCATCTAACCTCTTATTTACTCTTCATATTGAAAGCCTCTTCATTAAAATTTACAAACGTCTATATTATATCCGTCGGTTACGTTCATATCACACACCTCAAGCCTAATCTGGCGATTTACAGATGCCTGCATTCTCCCCCTCATTCTCTACTGTTCTCCGGTTATTTTCCCAGCCTTGCTTAAAAGTGACCTGTTGATGTTTAAACGTATCCTCCGAATGCTCTCTTCATCTGCCGGAGTTTTTTAAACGTTTTTAACTGATGTTATAATATAGCGACACTTGAAACCGGTCAAGCAATTTGCTGATCGCATTCTTGATGAGATTGCCCATCCACTTAACTCGAGACTACTGGCTGCGTAGTCTTCCCGTACTATGCGTTGAAGTTTCCTACATATATCTTGCCGTACATCGTCATATCAGCACTTTGTACTCCCATTCTTAGCAGGCTATCTCACCTGTAAAGAAATCCAGAAGTTGAGATTAGACCTGCCTCCATCATTAATGTGCATTTTATATAAACCTCTAGATTGTAGCGTATTTTATTAATTCATCTCTTGGTCTCAGTGAATGGCTGCATGCTTGCTGAAATTTTAAAACGTAAAATAAAATAAAACGTATTTTTCTCTCTCTCCCTCCCCCAGATTGCGGATGGTATGTCTTACCTGGAGGCGAAAGAACTGGTGCATCGTGACCTGGCCGCTCGCAATGTGTTGGTTGGCGAAAGCAACGAAGTCAAGGTCGCTGATTTTGGCTTGGCGCGTCAGATCGACCATGACACAGAAGCCTACAATGCCAAGCAGGTGAGTTGTCTCTTGGTCCTATTATGTCTTTCCATTATAGTCCACAAATGCATAATTGGCAGTACTTCTGTATTAGTAGCTTTCTACTCCAAGCAGTAGTGCGTGTTCAGTTAATTTCCTGTCTACGTGCCTAAATGCCGATTTCCCGCGCGAGTCCACTGACCGGTACGGACGATGGCTCAGGTCTGTACATAGAAATGGCAATAGAGAGTGAGGTCTACGGCTTAGCGTATTTTTCTCACGATCTGATGCCCTAGAGGTTGTTGCGGTGCACTAAAAGTTGCCAACTGACGGGATAACTCGAACCGCGCGATCAGTTCAGTGTTTGCAGATAGTAGTGCCGGCATAGACAAGAGAGACTGGAATGGCCATTTCTGGCTTATTGACCATCGTCAGCCAGTCATACTCAGCCTCAAGTGGTGCACAACTGGAGGCTCGAACTCGCGATGTTTTAATCAAAGTCTAACGCCCATTGAATCGTTAGCTCTCTGTCTTGTTGGTTTAGGTCGAGAGACATTGACACTCGTTGATTAACCTTCACCGACTGCTAACGGAGCTCTGCCTTTTGCTTTAGGCCTCATTGCTCAGGCCCTGACAACAGCTGCAGCAATGAGCTCAGTGTGTGTTTGTGGGGTGTGACTGACTGACTGACTTACTGAAAGAATACAATGGCTCCTTCTTAAAGTGGACCTTATGGTACTTCCATTCGGCTAGATCCGAGCCAGGTGTGGCTAAATGCTTAGGTTCGGTTCCGGCCGCGCTAGCCATATGTTTTCCTCTGGTCTT